GGCGCCGCACCCTGTCACACACAGAGCCGCAGGGTGATCAGGGGGTTTTGTCGCTGCCCCCTGTCAAGCTGATCCCGGTGCCTGGAGGCCTCACGGCTCCACTGATCCCAGTGTTGGGAGGCATATTACCCTTTTACTATGTAGGACAGAGGCCTGGTGCACGGGTGGGGGCCGGCTGGTTTGCCCTGAAGGGTGTCCTGGATCAGGGTGGGGGTCCCCACTGGGGTGCCTGGCCAGCCTGGATGAGGGGATGATGGCTGTTTGCAGCTGGTCACACACCCTTCAGGGTGGGGGTCCCCACTGGGGTGCCTGGCCAGCCTGGATGAGGGGATGATGGCTGTTTGCAGCTGCTCACACACCCTTCAGGGTGGGGGTCCCCACTGGGGTGCCTGGCCAGCCTGGATGAGGGGATGATGGCTGTTTGCAGCTGCTCACACACCCTTCAGGGTGGGGGTCCCCACTGGGGTGCCTGGCCAGCCTGGATGAGGGGATGATGGCTGTTTGCAGCTGCTCACACACCCTTCAGGGTGGGGGTCCCCACTGGGGTGCCTGGCCAGCCTGGATGAGGGGATGATGGCTGTTTGCAGCTGCTCACACACCCTTCAGGGTGGGGGTCCCCACTGGGGTGCCTGGCCAGCCTGGATGAGGGGATGATGGCTGTTTGCAGCTGCTCACACACCCTTCAGGGTGGGGGTCCCCACTGGGGTGCCTGGCCAGCCTGGATGAGGGGATGATGGCTGTTTGCAGCTGCTCACACACTATCTCAGTGATTAGCCAATGGGAAGGGTAGTGGCTGTATGGCTAATTACCATGTTTCTCTTTTATTAGATAGGACGTTAGGTCATTCTCATAAAGGGAAGGGAAAGATGTAATTACATTTTACATGGAATGAGGTGGGGACAGAAATGAAAGAATTTAGTGGGAAAGGGAAAGATTAACCAGAGATAAGAAAGGATATGTGGAACTGTGGTTTCTAAAGCAACAGGGACACATGCCCACCCAGAATTTAGGGAGGTAGTGTGATCACAGTAGATATGAACCTAGGTATCTAGGCTCCCTGCTTTGACAGAAATTTCCATGGCCACGCATGACACAGAAGTCTGAGTCACTGCAAGAAACTAAGTAAGCAATAAGCGTATCAGTGTTGACCATTGGAGTATCCCTGGATTTTTTGATGCCCCCAGACGGCTGTATAATCCTAATGGATGAATGAGGAAAGTCCAGGTAATGATTACGGTTAAATTTCCTCCCAGATTGGTGGGATAAGAAATGCAGTCCAAATAATCATTTTTGGTATTGGTTTGGTTTTTGCACATTCAGGTTTGTGGAGTACAATTCATTAATGCTTTCGGGACTATCAAATAAAGAATATATTTTTCCAGTCTGACATATAGTATTAATTTTGTGGGGAAATTTTTTTTAGTCCATTTCTCTTTGAAATTTATTATATTGATTTCTGACTATCTCAACTTGTGAGACTCAACTTCATGGTGTTGCATGCATGCTTTTAGAATTTTGGAAAGATGTTCCCAACTTGCATGCATTTTAATAGCTACCTATTCACCCACAAGTCATACACACGCTTTCTTCTTCTAAAAAGTACCTTTATGGAATGCCTGGCATTAGATATATCTGTTTATGGGAAAATAAGTTAAAATTTTGAACCAAAAAGTACATATTGACCACTACATATGGCTCAGGGTGCTATAACAGAATTAATCTTGTGGGGGAAAAAATCACATTTAAACCAAATGGTTGTACAAAACAGCCAATTGAGTGTCTCGTTTTGTCCTGTTTTTATGTTATTAAACAATCTTTGCCATTACTCATGATTCTTGAGTAATTACTAAAGGGTCATAGTGGTCCCTTATGTGTTGCTTTCAAAGGTAAACAAAGTGTAAAAAGACACTATTTTAATTTTATTTTGACATATCCTTTGTTTAATTTCAGTTGTGTAGGGTAAGATCATTTCAAACTACCCCAAATAGGTCACCTTTTTAGTTACCAGAACACAGATGGTACTTTGATGAATCTAATGGATTTGTGAATTTTAAGCTCTTTTAATAAAATAGCGATGAGGACAATCAAGGTAAAAAAGTAGCAATTCTCCCTTTCAACTCATGTTTTTCTTGAGCCTTTGTTGTATGTTAAGCACCAAATGAGGTACTTTGACATATGGGGTAGCAAAGTTATCAAAAAACGTGAATCTCAAATCTGATTTTTTACTCATCCATATAGAATCAATTTTACTCCATTAGAAACTATTCTTTTTGAATTAATTGGCATGGTTGTGATCAACATAAGACATGTAGTACTGTTTTCTGAAACATCTTTGGCCTTTAATTCATTAGCTGCCTCCAATAATTTTTTTTTAGTTAAAGAGCAGCCATATTCAATGGCTTTATTACTTCCAAGAACCTGAGAATCCTTAAGGGTTAAAATCCCTATAAATCAGTGGTTCTCAACTTTGGCTGCACATTAGAATCACCTGGGAATCCTTTTAAAATCCTGATTTCTGGGCCTCATCCTCCAGAAATTCTGTTTCTTTGTTACTAATGTTGTGGCCTCATCCCATAACAAAGAAACAGAATTTCCGGAGGATGAGGCCCAGAAATCAGGATTTTAAAAGGATTCCCAGGTGATTCTAATGTGCAGCCAAAGTTGAGAACCACTGTTCTCAACCTTGGCTGCACATTAGAATCACCTGGGAATCTTTAAAATCCTGATTTCTGGGCCTCATCCTCCAGAAATTCTGTTTCTTTGTTACTAATGTTGTGGCCCCACCCCATAACAAAGAAACAGAATTTCTGGAGGATGAGGCCCAGAAATCAGGATTTTAAAGATTCCCAGGTGATTCTAATGTGCAGCCAAGGTTGAGAACCACTGCTATAAATAAAAAAGTGCTATTGTAGGGAGCGGCTAGGGTCAAGCCTCCGGCTCACCTGTGGCAGGGCCAAAAACAAGTCCCATCCTGGAGGGCAGAGCTCTCCTAGCATAATTAAGCCTGACCTTGTAGCCCTCTCTAATTCCTTCCTAAGTAGCTAATGGACTGTGGGAGGTGCAGCAAGTGTTGCCAAAACAAGAACCTTTGTATACATGTTAATCTACCCTTGTTTTAATCAGACTATAAAAAAAAGCATTGGCTTGCAGGCTGGGTCTTATGTGTCCTCATCCAGGCATGGGAGATCCACCGAGCCCCAGCTGTAGTCTCTTTGTCTTCTTTAATCTTTCACCACCCCTCCTCAGGTTCACCCTTGGCCGTGCTGTTGTGGCACATGCTATTATCTTGGAAATCATAGTGTTGGGATAAGATTCAGTTAATAGACTTGAATTACTGGAGTCTTCAAATGCACTATTTCCTTTAAGAGTGATAAAGTTACTAATAGTGACTTCTACTCATGACCTACCCTATCCCCAGGTTTTGGTAAAGGATCCCTAGGACAATGTCCTTTATCAACCTTGGAGCATCACCCTGCCCATTCTAATATCAATCTGTGATGATATTTGTATTCCTTGGCTCATAACATTGTCTCTTAAAATAGGTAAAATCTCTGGGCCTTATATATTCAGTTGATTGTAATGGAGAACTTTGAATTTAGTCTCAAAAAGCCCAGACAAGCTTGTCATGTCTGAATAAACCAACTTCTGAATGCCTGGTTACACTTAACAAATTGGGACCACACCCAGCTGTCCCTACTGGGAAAGTTTGATGAGCATCTCTCCAGAATATCCCAAGACAATAAATATTCATGGCACCATGTCTTAAATGCTTCTATGACCTGCTGAGGGAAGTACTATTCTTTTCTGACCCCAATTAAAGGGTTCAGCTTCCTTGATGACCTGCCAGGATTACTCCACTTCCTATTTCCCATCATCAGCCTATATTAAACTCTTTCTTAAATGCTTAGAAACTACAAATCTTTATTTCTCTCTTTGGATAAGGTTACCCTTTTGATAAGGTTCCTCCTCTTCTCCACAGGAATTCAGGACATTGGGGTGAGATGGGAAGGAAGTCAGCATTAAAACATGCTTGGGTTTAACCCACATACTGTGAGTCTGTGTGTCTATGTAAAGTCCAACACACTTAGAAGAAAATTGATTAGTTTCTAATTCTACCACTATACCCAGGAAAATTTTAGCCAGATTAATAATATACCACTAGTTGGCCAAAATTATTAATGGAACAATAGGCAGAACCCCTAACACCTTTTAATCAGTGTGTTATTATACACTTTAAGTAAATTAATATTCCTTAAATGAGTTCTAATTCAGAGGCATTAAGATAAGTATATTTCAAATAATGACATCCATCAATGATTCAATTTTTTTATTTTTAGAGGTTGAACAATGGTTCATTGAAGACTTTCTGATGAAACAATTAGCAATATCAAAGATGATTTCAATATTTTTTTAAAGTTAGAGCACAGACTAAATACAAATCAATTTAAATAAGCACATTTTTGAAAAAGAATAGAAGAATACCTAAAAGTTCCCATTGAATTCATGTGGTATTATTCCTGGTTTTATGGGTACTATCTTATATCTTAATTAAATAAGACCTGGCAGAAAACAATTAGTGATTAATTTATATAGAAACTGGTAGCACTGAAAATGTTAAAATCTATGCATTCTAATGGTTTGTGTGTGTACATACATATGTAATTTCTGTTTTGCCTATTTTACTATCTTAATCATTATCCTTTCTTACTGTTTCCTCTGAGGATCTTACCTTTCTTTAACATACTTAATCAGAGCTTTTCTTGACAATCCTTTTCACACATCATTTTCTAGTTTTCAAATATTTCCAATGATGCCTTTTATTTTAATAAAAGGGTTTTGATCAAAAAACTAAAGAACACTGAAATAAAACTTTCTCTGTCCCAATACTACTCACAACCTACCACAACATTCATGCTTCAAATCACAGAACTAGGGAATTGACTTGTCAAGTATCCCCCACATTTCTGTGATAGGCCAGGGCTTCCAGGTGCTGCTTCTACAAGGTAAGGTGTTGATATAATTTCTTCTATTACAGTGCACTGACTACAACATTTCATTGTCCCTTCACTTACTTGTTTTAGCTGGCATAGGATATAAAAATTCCAGATGAATTAACATATAAATCAAAAATATTCATTACTTCTGAACCACTTTAAATATGTTCAGTCCTATTTGGCTATCCAACATTTCAATGTTTCTTCTTAATATATGATCACCTTGCTTTCTTCACTAAACACCTTATCCTTTAAAGCTCAGTTACCCATTTTGCAATCTCTCTGGCTTGTTTACTTTGGGACATTTCTGTATATGTAGCTCACTATTGTCTATGTGTATTAGAATAACAACCACAGAGTACAATGGGAGTTGACATCCTAAAATAGTTTACCCTCTCACTTCCTTAAAATATGATTTTAACATAAAAGTTATTTTTGAAACTTAACTTTGAGTAAATATTTTGAAGAAAAATTAATTCCTAAAAGACTTGATTCTACATACTACTTAAATGAGAACATTTTCTGAAATTCAAACATAGCAAGCTCCATTTGCTCAGCGATGAGGTACTGGCACAAAGTTCCCCATGGCCTTTTAGGTGTACAAATTTATGATAATGAAGACTACTTCTAAGGAAATAATTTGACATGAAAGTTTTTTTTTCTTTTTAAACTACTGCATTTAAAAAGTGATTTTAATTGTAAACACTCAAGAATAAGCCAGTTTTAGGATCACATTATTGTATCACAGTAACAGAAATGTGAATCACATTTATTTTTTTAATTCATGGATTCGGGTTCTCCTAAATTCTCACTATTGAGCTACTAAACTCTTGATATAAGTTGTTGTATCATCATTCCTGGAACTAAGATCCTAAGGAAATAACACGCTATCATGAAATCACACATAGTCAGCTGCTTTTGTATTTTGGTTAACCAGGTAGTTTGAAAATTATGATCCCACTAGCACTGTCTTCAGATTTTAGAAGCAAGCTAGAGGAATTACACTGAGGTAAACTTTGTGGTAGTTCAGTTGCCTCTCTATTGCCCCAGAACTAACCATGGTATTGAGGATGGATATGCAGAAATTATGCTTTTCACCAGGTAGCAGTTACCATAGGTGACCAAAAATCACCTTTGTATGGCATCTATAACGTATATGGATGATAAACTAGCATGATTTTCAGCACTCTAAATTTGTAGGTTTGGGTATCTGAACAAAGTTTTATTTTTTCAAAATATTTTCATTATTTTTACCTAAAACATTAAGTCCCTACATGTGGATTTATCACTTTAGATAAATTTCCAATTTTACAGAGATAGAAATATAAAAGATAAATTTTAGCAGCTAAAAATTTTATTATATTTTTTTAATAACTGAAGGGACATTTTTATATAGTTTAATCTGGGGTTGGGAAAATATTTAATGTCTGTTGGCCAGATAAGAATATTGATAAATCAACCAATTGGTTCTTGGGGTTAAAATTTGACTCCTACATTAAAGTATTAAAAAAATAAAATAAAGTAATTCTACAGTACATGTGTATAGGAGTTCAGTCCTGTATTCAGGCATGCAAGTGTATTATTTGGTGGTTTTTAAAAACTATTGCACATTGTTGGGGGTTCTGAGGAAAATAAAGCATCTGAGGTTTTCCTTTCTTCTTACCAGGAGAAAAACAGCTTAACATGCAGTGAAAAGAACACAACTGCTCTCTTACTGTGAGTTTAACTGCCATGGGGCATTGAGAAAATGGGTGGTCTTTTCCCCCTTTATCACTGTAGTTTTCTCCAGGCATATAGGTTGTTCAACCTTAGTATGGTTTATAGCATAGTCCTTGTTGTTTTCATTTCATAATCTAACATTTAGTTCTTTATATGACTTTTCAAATTCCTATATGGTTCATTTATACTCTTACTTTTTCTGAAAAAGCTCATTCAGTGCCAATTCTTTTGAAAACTACTTGAAATCAAACTCATTACAGGTTTCTTCACTCCATGTTATAAAATCTCAACATAGATACTGTCCAAACTGTCCAAAGTATAATGCTTGAATTCACAGTAACAAAAGTGACAAAGGTTGTGCAAAAGATATTGTACACCATTGGAGTACATAGAGCTTGCTACAGTTAATTTTATATATAAAGCTGCACTTCTCATTAGAACTATTATGTGCTACATTAAAAGTAAAGTATGTGATTTAACATTTCACTAATAATAAAACAGAATGCTAATTTAATCTCAGAATTTTTAAGATGCAAATTGCATATTTATGATGTTTGTAAATGTTGTAATCAATCATTGTAATCTTTTAAACACCATAATTGCTTTGGAGCTCTTCAAGTTTTCCAAGGGTCATAAAGTAAACCCGGCTGTGGCGATTGCGCAAAGTAGAGGTAAAGAATAGCTTTAAAAAGAAAGAAAGACACCATCAGTAAATGTTTAGTACATTGTAACCTGACATTTGTTAGATACAACTATAATTTCAATTTATCTGCATCAATCACTTAAAATATTAAGCTATACTGCTTTTCAGAATAGAATTTCTTCAATTTAAAGACTAAGAATTTTAAATTAGAATGTAGTCTAAATATATTTTAAAAAATACCTTTTACCATCCTAATATATAAAAACCCAGGGTCCATAGCGTCCAAAATGACCGAAGGCTTGAGCGAATGCCAGGCTGAGTGCAGCAGGCTCCGATGAGCGGAACTGGTGAGTGGGCTGAACTGCTGACCTCTTGGGGAGAGAGAGAGGTGGGGCTGATCAGCAATTACCACAGCTGCTGGTGAGGCCCAGAGAGAGAGAAGCAGGGTCTAATCCAGCCGTGGGCAAACTATGGCCTGTGGGCCTGATCCGGCCCGTTTGAAATGAATAAAACTAAGAAAAAAAAGACCGTACCCTTTTATGTAATGATGTTTACTTTGAATTTATATTAGTTCACACAAACACTCCATCCATGCTTTTGTTCCGGCCCTCCGGTCCAGTTTAAGAACCCATTGTGGCCCTCGAGTCAAAAAGTTTGCCCACCCCTGGTAATCTGAAGTCTCTTTCTAGGCCTCACCAGCAGCCAGGCCTCTCTCTCTCTGAGAGATCAGCTGTTCAGTCTGCTGGCCAGCAGCCTGGAGTGGCTGTTAATCAGCCCAGCCTCTCTGATCAGACCTAGAGATAGGCTCAGAGATGCTGACTGGCATAGAAACCGAACAATCAGAACCTAATCTGAGTGAACTGAAAAAGCAGAACCTAAGGTGGGGGCTGAGGAGGGGTTTTCAGGGCAACAGCTGTTTGGTGTAAGGTGTAAGAAAGTGGTTCAATTTTTTAAAGACCAGTTTGGCAGTATAGTACATATGGCTGGCTATCAGTCCAGATATAGGGATTATGTATTTTTGTCTGCCAAGAGCATCTCCTCCTGCTGAAAAAGGCCTTCCCCCCACTTTAAGCAATCCTATCTTATATAATCTATCATCTATACTAAAAGGGTAATATGCTAATTAGACTGGGTCGACCAGCCATCTTCCAGATGTCTGACTTCCTTCAGGACAAAGCCATGGTGGTGGGGGCTGAGGCAAAGGCAGTTAGGGACAATCAGGACAGCAGGAGAGGGCAGTTGGGGGCGAGATTGGGCCAGCAGGGGATGGCAGTTGGAAGCGAGATCAGGCTGGCAGGGGAGGGAAGTTGGGGATGAGATCAGACTGGCATGGGAGGGCAGTTGGGGGTAACATCAGGCCGGCAGGGGTGGGCAGTTAGGGGCGATCAGGCAGGTAAAGGCAGTTAGGGGTGATCAGGCAGGCAGGCAGGTGAGCAGTTAGGAGCCAGTGGTCCCAGATTGTGAGAGGGATATCTGACTGCCAGTCATCCCCCAAGGGGTCCCCGATTGGAGAGGTGCAGGCTGGGATGAAGGAATACCCCTTGTGCAAGAATTTCATGCACTGGGCCACTAGTCCTATATAATAAAAGCCTAATATGCTAAGTGTCCGGTCATCCATTCAACCAATCAAAGTGTAATATGCTAATGATATGCTAAGGCCGCTCAACCTCTTGCTATGATGTGCATTGACCACCAGGGGGAAGACACTCTGACTGGTAGGTTAGCTTGATGCTGGGCTCTGGCTGATTGAGACTGAGCAAGATGGGCCAGATAAACCCTGGAGCCCTCCCACGGTCCCTCCCCAACTGGCCAACCTTCCGCATCCCTCACTGGCCCAGATCGTGCACAGGTGGGGTCTCTCATCCTGGCCTGTGCCCTCTCGCAATCCGGCTGAGGGACCACCCCCCCTCCGAGTGCATGAATTTTGTGCACCGGGCCTCTAGTATTTTATAAAATGGCACTATATTTAAACAAAATTAGTTTTTTGTAGGTGACAAATATCTGGTAAAGTTTTTGATTAATTTTGGTTAATAATTCTTTGCTTAAAAAAAATCAACTTTCACTTGTTGACTTTCCTTTTTTAAATATAAGGAAATGATTAAATTATTTTGATGTTCACCATTGTTGCTGGCTTTTATTAAATTTTCTACTTGGTGCAATTTTAATTTTCTCTGTCAGTGGAATGCACTGACATCGATAGATTGATATTATGAGCTAAACTGATTGGCTTAGAGAGAAACATGTCATATAAATATGGTATGTGCCATAAACATAATTAGAATGGAGATGAAGAAACTAAGGCCCAGAAAGATTAATCAAACTTCAAGGTTCTTACACCTAGTCATGCGGCAGAGCCAGTACTGCATCTTAGGTCTATGTGACTTCAAACACCAGTTCTTGCCATTGTATTACTTTATATTGCAAACTAGTACCTTTCCTTGAAGCACATTGCTTTACCCTGGCTGTTCTGATACTAAGTGAATCTTCTGTAATCTCTTCTAAATGTGATTGATTCCTAATCCTATTAGGATTATTTCTTCTCGTTATTATTTCTCATAATATAAGGACTGTAATGATTTTATCCAATGCATTTTTCACCTAAACTGTCTGATTGGGTTGATAAAATTGATTACATTACACTAATAGCCAAATTATAATTTTTTTTCTTGTAAAATGAACAAAATAATAGCAAATCCATCTTAAAGATTAAATGTAGTTTTAAAAGTAGTAATTTCTTTAGTTAATTTTTATTGTTTTCTTTATTTTTTCTTTTACTGGAGGATATATTACCTTGTCACCTCGGGTACACAGAAATCTCAGCTTCTTAATTGACCTGCGCTTCAGTTCACTTTCGAGAAGCCTTGATTGCAAAGAACGAACTTCAATGGCCTTTTGGCCCCATCCTGTGGTTCGCTGTGTACATTCATATGCTATAATAAAAATTAAAAATTAGAAAAACACAAAATATTTCTAACAGAGATAGAAAATTATAACCAGAGCCACTATTTGGTTATTAAGAATCTGATTATTACAGTTCAGGTAAACACTTTATTTCCTCCTTCTATAGTCAGTCATTTGGCTATTATGCTGCTTAGCAGTGTTGTTTAAACCAGCTATTTATTGTTAGCATTGTGATCAATGCTGAATAACTATATCTAAATTAATTTTGCTACTCATATTCTCTAATACTGCAGAAAAAATCTAAGGGTTAATTCTACCCTGTTGATAGAAAGTCAAATCTACCCACAACCATTCTTCTTTTTACAATCTAGTTGAGGTACAACATTCCATAAGGTTTTGTAATTGTGTTCAAGTAACATATGGAAAACTGACTAACTTTTCAAAATTAAAACTGTTAAAAATGACCTGCTCAAATAATGACTTTAGCAACTCTAATGTAGTTCAATGAATTACTATGTTATAAAAAGAAATAAAACTAATTTGATACTGTTAATGCTTTTTCTTTCTCAGGAAATTTTTATAAGATTTCAACTTTTATAACCTGTTTTATTTTACTTGGTGACAATAAAGGTTATGACAATTGCTTTAAAGCAGAAAACCTAATCATGTAAATGGTCATACAGTCAGTTGGTGCTGTAAGGTATTTTTTGACACAAGTGGCTGTATTATTTTTAAATGTTTAACTTTCAAGTTGATATTCTTTATGTACTTTATGGGGAGGCAAATTTCCATAAATAAATATAATCCTGCACCTAAAATAATATCAAAATTTTGAGTCAAGTTAAAATAGTCTAGAAAGCACTAAAACAAGATTCCTTCATTCTCATATTAACATGACTAAAATTAGAATTCAATTCATTAGATTTTTTATTTTCTTCTATTATAAAGTCAATAAAATATGAGTTGATATAATTATAATTAAAATTTTCCCTTATCTGGCCACAAAAGTTCTAGGATAAGAATGGACCTGGAGAGTATTATGCAAAGTGAAGTGAGCCAGTCAGAGAAAGAGAAATACCATATGATTTCACTTATATGTGGATTCTAATGAACAAAATAAACTGATGAACAAAATAGTAACAGAATCATGGTTTTCAGAAGGGAGGGTGTTGCGGGGGACTGAGTAAAAGATGGTGAAAGGATTAAACAAACTGCCCCAAACCTCATTGAGAGACAACAGTATGGTCATTACCAGAGAGAAATGGGGATGGGGGAGGTAAGAGAGGGGAAATGGGGGGAGAAATGGTAATGGAAAGAAACATGACTTGGGAGGTGAACAAAGAATATACAGATAATGTATTATAGAATTGTACACCTTAAAACTATATAATTTTATTAGCCAATGTACCTCCAATAGATGCAATAAAAGAATAAATATTAAATGAATAAATAAACCAAAATTTAACTGGCCTATACATATGTATGTAAAATATGCATAGAAAGATTCATGAAAAATTATGAAACTTTTATCAACGTGACTTTTCATAGGCAGTGTGAGCCATTTTGAATCCCTCAACTAAAACTTAGCAAGAATTTATTTCTTGCTTCCTTTTACATTACATTTCCAAATATTTATGCACATGAAATTGACATAAACTTGTAATTAAATTGCAACCATATTTTATTGAGACAATGGTCTCCTGAAAGGAGATTTTACAAACCCAATTTCAGACTAGAATTAAAATCACTCCAGATATGAGGAAAGCTATGGGAATACATAGCTTGACTGACGGGAACAAGTAATAGTTTTTTGCCTATTCAGATTTGAATTTTTTCACCTATGTGAATACGTCATTAAAATTGAATTGTTGTCAACAACCACAGAGAGCAAAAATTTCTAAACTTAATGCACAGCTTACTTGCAGAGTCATGTACACAGTTCATAAGGCATTACATAATTCCCAACTTAATTTTGAAACACTAATCTGCCACTTAACCTAGCTACTGAGCTAGCCTGCTTATGAGGTGGAATCTAATGATTTGGGTTGGAATAATTAGTGATATTTCTGTGATTTTTAAGCTTCTATATCTATTTGAATATCTAGAGAAATGATCTTATTACTTAACACATTTAATATATCTCAAGAAAATGTAAAATTCAGATTGGGGAAATCTGGATCTAGGTTAGCTTTAAATAACAAGCAGTTGTTTTTAGATAGAAAAAGAAATAATTTATTTCTTTAATATCAGTATTATACTGTAGACTTTAGTATACCCTCAAAATGCCCTTAATACACAAACCAAAATAGCATGTTCTTATAGTGCTATAATTTATTTTACATATAAAGTGATGGTTTTCAAATTCTAACAACTAAAGTATTTCGTGTTGTTTTAGGTCAGAATTTGTCTTAAGGACAGGACCTGTACCAGATAACTTTTTAAGAACCCTTTGATTCATATGATTGCCTACTGGCATATATACCAGAGGTTTGTTCCGTTCCCCATTTGAATGGAATTTTCTTATTTCAGTTTCTGATTATCAAATTGATTAAAAAGTACCAGTGTAGTGGTTAGATAAAGATTGATTATTTTCAGTTTCCTTTGCCCTAGGTCTATTAATTATATTGTAGGCATTTACCTTTCATCACTTAAAATGGTTTTAAACCCTCTGTGAGTTCTTACCTGTTTGAAGCAATTTGAGGAGGTTTTCAGGACAATCGTTAACAACATGTATGGAAAATAAAGGATTCTGCAGACACCATGCAAAGTGCTCTCATCCCATAATGAAAAAAATGTCAGTTAAAAAGCAGTTCTTTTAAACTGGTCTTTATAGCCACATGAGGATCACATTTAGCCCTTTAATAGAGATTTCAGAAGCTTCTGACTTCTCTATTGACAAACTACCTTTCTCTTTTTTCCTCTCTTCCCCTCTCCTCTTCTTCATTTGCTTCTTTAAACTCCTTCCCCTTCCAGGTATATTTATCCTCCTCAGACCATTCTACTCTCTCTAATGTTTTCACTGTTCATATACATTCTGTTCGCTATTTAGAATCACCTCTGTAGTCTCAGAGACATATAAAAAAATCTCAAATTATTCAGATTTCTCAGATCTGCAGTGCTGCATTGGTCAGGAAGAAAAGATATCCTGGCCTGATGAAGACAAAAAGGCAGTTTTCTTTACTTTGCCATCTGGGTGGTACCTAATGGGCACTCCAGTAAGTCATATTTATCTCTTTTTAAATGAAGGATGATGAAATCTTAGTGGCAGCCAATATGTCACATATTCAGTTTGTATTTAATTCTTCATGAGACTATTACTCAATAAACAGAACACTATTGACTATATGAAATAGAAACATTTTGCTCTTCTTTTAAGACTATTTGTCAGTCTCCTTAGAAAAAGGTAAATCCCAAAGTAAATGTGATAGAATGAACCATTTTCAACATCTGTGTAAAATCTGCAAGCAAAGGGAGTTAAAATATAATTATACATTATTGTGGAAAGAAATTCCCTTTTATTATACTTATAATATTATTGCAAATGAACAACTAAGCCAAAATCAGTCTCTTTATTGTAGGTTGTGGATTCATTAAGCATATAACAAGCACATATCACTTCACTAAGGGAACAACTATGCACTATCCCAAATTAACTCTATATGCTTTGAAAAAGTATTATATATCAGAAAATGGAAGCTTCTATGACATCATGTGAAAGAGGAAAATTTTTATACCTACCTACTGAAGATGGTATATCTTTCCACACTTCAAGGATCTTCTTGAAGAGTTGTTCATTTGCTTCCATAGAAAGGGCTTCAGCATTGAAGGTGAGCATCATGCCAATTCCCAAGGAATCAGGTAAAATGATGATATTCTGTGGTATAATGATTTCCAGGGGCTGGAATTATGTTTCATAAGGATTTATATGTCCAAAATTTGATCACTACTACTTTAATTGATGCAGATTGGTTGAGCAATAAAGATTAAAAGGGGGTTCAAAGTGCAGGGAGGAAGACAAATTTTTATCTCAATATTAAACAGCATGCTACCCAACACTTAAAAAGAACCTTCCTTATGTCATAAAATCATCACTACTTAATATTCTTCTTTATATTTAGGAGAAATCTTTGTTTGAAAAAAGCAGAGATTTATTTCCAACACACAGAAACTCCTTGAAATTTTACAAAGTATTATGAATAATGATAGAATCATTATTACTTGTTATGGAGTTGGATTTCAGGACATTAATGAATACTTTAGTAATTAATGCATGAATCAAGTAACAAATACACAACAACGGGTTATACACAAACTCACTCAAATCAGAAAAGAAATAACTTAAGAATAGCTTGAACTTAAAATGTTTATAAGGGGCAGTTTTATATTCTTCACTGCTTGAAATATGTCATCCTTCCTTCACAAAAATGTAAGATTTCTTTTCAATTAATAAAATATTAAAATACCTTCAATATACAAATTCAGAGATGTATTAGGTGACAATATCAAATACTCAGAAATATCTAAGAATTTCTAAAATTCATGATGCGTAAAACAATGTGACAAAATTTACCAAAACTACAGATATTGTCATATTAATAGTATTTCCCTGAGAAATGAACAATTACATTCCTCTATCATTTCTCCAAATTAGTAAAATTACAGGATAAAAGCTCAGAAATTATACTTGCCAAACCCAGTGTACTCAGGCCAAGTGCTTGAGGCCATGTCTCAGCAACAACAATCCTTAAAACCAAAATGGGGACCCAGAGGCGAAAAGCAATTTTTATGCGTTCCCTGGGCACTAGCATGAGCAATTGAATCAGAAACTAGATGAAGGAAGAGAGACAAATAAATTGCAAGAAAGAAGGTTGCCTCAAGAAAATTTGTTTAGAATAAAGGTGGACTGCTGTAAATTCAGACAGCCTGAGAGGTAGTTCTCTTGCTTCTCAGATAGTTCCTCAAGTAACTACATATTCTTTAGTATACATGGCTTCCCTGTAGCATTACAGCATTTGTAATCTAGCACTCTTGAAAAAATATTATTTTTAGTACATGCTGTTTCAGAAGACACTCTCCCCAATCTTATATTAGAGTCCTTTCTCATTTAGTGGGCCAAGACACTAGGGTGCTTAGCTAAAAATACTATTTTTGAATATACTTGAGATATCCTAATTAGGTCAGAAAAGTGTTGTGTGTTTTTTTTAACTCATCTTCTCTCCTTTCTTCCACAATAATTACCTGATTGCTTTCAAAAGCAAATAATTCTCCTTGCTTAATAGTCAAGTGGAACACGGGGTTTAATCTCCTTGAACTCTTTGAAATAAGTGTAAACTTGGACAAGTGCTGCAATGTTCAATACTGTACTAGCTTCAAAATAACACTATCTGACATGACATTTAAAAATAAGATGCAGGAAGCTATAGGAGATACCCCAACTGAAGAGTACTATAATATTTAAATAAAAATGAACTTGCACTTGCACCGATATTTGAGTGGCTTTAGCATGGCTTGGTTCAGTATTTTCCATATTATAAACAGGGTGATTTCTATATAATCATAGGTGACAACTGAGTAATCAGTTCATTATATTGTTCATATGACCAAACTTTTAAAAATGTCTCTACTAATGATCTATGTAATTTGTTAGAGATGTATTAAATAATCCTAAATATTATGCAAAATATCAGATTACTTTAGTGATTTAAAAGTACAGAAAGTCTTCTCTTGGACTTTTGTATAATGTAAATTGCTAAAATTTTACTTGTTGACAAACTGGGGAATTAAGAAAAGGTGAAGCAGATTTGTTGGTTCAGCCCTTTTTTTTCAAAAGAACAAATATCATTGCTATCAACAAATTTGAGACACAACATAATTATATGTTGTATGGCATGTTTGTGGGAGGGGTATTATGTTATGTTCCAGATTTTTATATAAATAATGTGTATAGTGTTTTTACAACTCCCCATTTCTTTGATGTGTCATATTTTCACTATTTACAATTATTTAAGAGTTGAGGTGAATTAGCTTTTTAAATGCTGAATCCTTTGATCAGAAATTTTAATTATAATTGATACTACAAGAGAACTTTTTATGATAATTTTTATATATCACAGTTAAAGTACTACAATCTGAATAAAGAAAGGTGAGATACATAATAATGTTGCAATTGTGGTGGTGTCTTTTTTAGAGAATCTTTTAGTGCATTATAGGGAGCAGAAGGACTGAATTAAGGAATGCAAGCTCATATGCCTGTTAGTGCCAGTTATTATCCTATCTAATAATAGACAAACATGGTAATTAACCATACCTCTGCTACGCTTCCCATTGGCTAATCAGGGCAATATGCAAATTAACTGCCAACCGAGATGGCGGCCGGCAGCCAGGCAGCTGAAGCGAACAGGAGG